CCATATGGTATTGACTAGTATTGAAATAAAAGCATACACATGGTTTGAAAAGCGTACCATGGTGGTATGAAGTATGAACAAACCAAGACTGTAGGATGGTTGAATACATGATTGTAGAAGTATATTAATTGTCATTTACGACTTTTAACATTGTGTACCACAAGATACCACCCCGTACAAGGTGGTATTGTATGGTATTGTGTGGTATTTTTTGCTCCTGTAATTTGTTCACTCAGAACTTTGTAGATCCAATAGATCATGATGAACTTGTCCCTTCTGTGCAAACGTTTTCAAAAACAAATTAAAAACGACGAAGATACCATATGGTATGAAGTTGGTACCGAAAGGCAAGAATTTTTTTTTCTAAAAAAATATTGAAAATTGATCTCATTTTGTATAGTACAATGAACTCGTTCCATCTGTGCAAAAAAAAAAATCGAGTTAAAACGAAAAAGATATGAGTCGATTAAGAAAGCTATAGAAAATAAAAATGACTTCTAATTCTCCATCCTTATATCTGAATTTTCTAAATGAAGGGTCCATATTTGGTTATTGATAGGTGCATAACCCATCAACATCACATCAGTATCCTCTCTCTCTTAGAAAGTCTTTTATCTATTCCCCTTTTATCCACATCAACATCAACATCACATCAGTATCCTCTCTCTCGTTTTAAGTCGAAATTTAATTTTTTTTGCACAGATAAATCAGATAAAATGTGCTCTTTAAAATGATATCCACTTTGATATATGTTTAGTACAAAAAAAAATTGAATAATTTTTTACCAGTCGTTACCATATGGTATGCTCCTATTTAATACCATATGGTAAGAAAGCGTACCATGATGGTATGAACATACTAATATGGTAAGAAGGTTGAATACATGATAGTAGAAGTATACTAACTGTCATTTACGACTTTCATCATTGTTTACTACAAGTTACCACCCACATACCATAGTGGTAAAGTATGGTAATTTTTTATCCACTATTTTTTTCACCCAGAAATTTATAGATCCAATAGATCATGATGAACTCGTTCCTTCTGAGCAAACGTTTTCAAAAACGACTTAAAAACGAAAAATTACCATATGGTATGTAGTTGGTAAAAAAAAAGTTTCTCGAAATATATTGAAAATTGATCTCATTTTGTAGAGCACAACGAACTCATTCCATCTGTGCAAAAAATAATTGAAATCCGAGTTAGAACGAAGAAGATAACAGCCTATTAAGAAAACTAGGGAAAATAAAATGTCTTTAATTGAAAACTCTTAGATCTGAATTTTCTGGACCCACTTAGATCTACAGGTCCAGATTTAGTTACTCATAGGTCAGTAACAAATGGTTACTGACCCTATCCTAAGCCGACAAGGACGGCAATAAGGAAAGACTACAACTTAATGCTCGCTTTAGGTGTCTTTCTGGATTGTTTTATTGAAGTTTGAAGTTTGGCTATGATAAGTTGGGTGGGGATAATTACATGGTTGGTCACTGAGATTCAAAAAACGTTCATGTTTAGTCACTGGAAATATTTCACTACAAGAAAAACTATCTACAGCGACTAAATATCGAGACATATACGGTATTTGTTTCTAAAAGTATATTATATGCAACAAATTGAAAATCTGTCACTATAAGTATAATTATATGTCTCTATAAATATTGTATATACAACAGATACATAATGTGTCTCGATATGTTTTACTATATTCTTTTAATAATAATATCTTTTAAGATATTTGAATTCACGTCTAACAAAATTATCCAATAACAAAAAGATGTTTGCTCCGTCAAGGTGATTCAGAGGTGGTGATTCGACTGCTTCGTCAAGGTGCTCTCTCTGACTCCATTGGAGGTCCGGTGCTTCGGGATTGCTCCCTTCTCCTTTCTTCCGTCTCTATTTCTTTAGAGTTTAGGGCAGTTCCTCGGACTGCTAACAGTGCTGCCCATAGAGTGGCGCAGAAAGCACTGTTACTCTCCCCTTTAGAGTTTTGCGCCTTTGATTTTGTGGGTTGGCTTCTCTGATGTATTGGGTTGGGCAGGGTCGGGGTAGATTGTATAGGTTTTCTCTTGACATTTCTTGGAAAAAAAAAAAAAAAAAAAAAAGATGTTTGCTAAAATTTTCTTCTAACCTTTTTTTGCTCATGAACGTTAGAGACAAATAATTATACGTCCAAAACTGAAAAGTTTAAGAGACAAAAATAAGTGTTACTATTGCCTTAAACACAATCAATGTTTTAATTACCTTTTACAAGATAAATATATTGTATGCCGCCAATCATGCATGTTTTTCCATTTTATATTAGAATTTAGTTTTTATAATTTTAGCAATAAATCGTAACCTTAATAAGGAGAGGGTGCCAGTTGTGAAATCCGGTCAGGCCTGAAAGGGGATTAGGGTTTTGTTCAACATATATTTCCCTAACCTTGCAGCGCCGCTTTCCAACATAAAAATCCCTTCTTCCATCCCGGTCATTCCTGGAGGCCACTTCCATCAAAAAATTACTAGATCCCGTGCTAGCTAGTTGAAATGATATCGAGGTTTGCTGGTGATGAATTCAAGTATTCAACGATGATGACGTTTCCACACGCTTTTTGTTGTTGTTGCAGATGAAGTGGAAGGAGGAGCGGGACAGCAGCAGCGATCTCAGCCACCGTCACGTTTTCTACGAATGCATTGGAAGCGTGGGACATGGAGATTCAAAAGTTCATGAGTAAATTGTTCATCACGAACGCATTTGGTAAATAATTAGTCGTATCATATTCTCGAACGAATTAACAGTGGTTTATCAATTGACAATCTAATACAAATTATTATTTTTTCAAATTGTGGATGAGATCCATAATTGGTTTTGCAGAACAACTCGAATAGAAGCAAAATGTGGTGAACAATCACGGCAATTCATGCAAAGTGAACCATAAAAAAGAATGAGAAGAGGCCAAGAGGGAAAAGTTGTGAAAGGTGAACAAATACAAGACCGATAGAAGTAGGGCTGGTAAACGGTCGGTAACCGGTTAAACCGGTTACCGTTTGACCGGTTACCGGTATACCGGAAACCACAACACCCCTGCCGTATGCCGACACTGATTTATTCTCGATAAACCGACTACCGAATGAAACGGCATCGGTTGTCATCCCGGCTACCCGTTTTACCGCAAACCAAATTGGACTGCGAAAAGCAGTGCTGCGGCCTGCGCCCCTTCCAAGTTCCAAATGCTGCTAACACATACAGCCACGTTGTAACCTGCAAAAGCCAAAAAAAACAAAGTAAATTTTAAATTCATGATTTTGTGAGGTCCTCTGCTAAAGCCAATCTGCGTAAGTCAAATAAACAAAAGATGTTGCTCCTCTTCTCGGGTATATATATATATATTACACAGACGCAATCACAAATAATGATTCATTGAAACAATTAAGTATTAACCATTCAACCTTCATTACCTGAAATCGACGGAGAGGCCGAACTGTTGGCTCGAGCGAATAAGCTCTGACGGCGTCGGCGACGGTGTCGACGGAAACAGGGCCGATGGGAACAGGGGTCGACGAAAATAGAGCCCGACGGAGAGGATGAGGTCTCGTGGGTCGAGCTACCGCCGACGACAAGGAGAACGAAAGATTCTGCAGTTTCAATCTGCTGGCGTTTGGATTCGAGGAGCCGAGGAGGGATCGGGCGGCGTGACTCGTCGTGCGACAGGCAGGGTCGAGAGGTAAAGAGCGATGCAAAAGTTAGGATTTAGTGGAACTGGGTTATTTACTTAATTAGAGACTCATGGTTGGGCCATGCTTGCTGGCGAAGTTTTGTTTCCCTTTCATATTCGGTTTCGGCATACCGGTAATGCCGACGGTAAATTACCGACCTCATATCGGTATACTGCTTCTCAAAATTCCTCATCCGAATACCGTTATGTACGGTTAACGGCTTAACCGGTAACCACAGTTATCGGTACGGTTACCGGTTAAACCGTTAACCTCAATACCGTTTACCAGCCCTGGATAGAAGGATGAACATAAAGGGCATGTCCTTCAATGTTAGAAATTCTAATGTTTTAGAAGTTCAATTTATTTTTCGATTTTCAATTATTTCTGTAGAGAAAATAAAGTACGTTGGTTTGAGTTTCTTTGTTATTTAAATAAAAAAATATAGATGCAAGTTATACAAATAAAGCTTCTATATTGTTACTTGTTAGTTAAATGTATATGATATCTTAAAAAAATAACAGTGCAAACCAAAATATCATTCTCTACACTCAACATTTGAGACAAATAATTGTGTCTTAGAATTTGTATTTTGATGCAGATATAATAGTCCCAAAAATCAATTTCAGAAACCAAAGTATCTGCCTCCAAAAATCATTTAGAGACTAATATTTATGACTTTAAAACAAGATATGGAGACAAAAATGATAGTCTCAAAAAGAGATCCTAGAGACTAAAATATTCGTTGCAATATCTCTAATTAGCAACATATATTATTTGTCTCAATATTTGCCTCTATATAGCTATCGTGACAGCGCTATAGGAAACAAATATGTAATCTGCATCTAAAGCAATATTGATACAAATAAGTAACTAATAGAGACACATTTCCTTTGTATCTATAGCCAATTTTTCTTGTAGTGTTTAAATCCAATCTTGGTCACTCAAATTAGTTAAATGGTTAAAGTTTTGTCACTCCCTGTCCAACTCCGTTAAATTTGTCTGATGTGGCAGTCAACCCTTAAAGTTGAACGTTAATTTAGTGACGTGGCAATTAAAAATAATAAATAAAATAAATTTTAATCTTCTACCATTTCCAACTCATTTTCAAAATAAATAAATAAATAAATAATTATAATTACAAATTGAAAAGGGTCGGCTGTCTGCACACACCGAGTTACCTTTCCTGGCCGAGTTCGCTCAGCGAGTCGAACACCAATGCCGCCATCAATTAATTAATTAATTAATTGATATATACGTATAACATTGTAATCAAGTAATGGGAAAGAGAAGCCATCAATTAATTAATTAACAGGTACAGGTTTTGATTTAACATACCTGATGACCTGAGAATCGAATCCGGAGAGGTTGGCTACCTCACTCAATGCAGCTCTCCATCTTCGAATTCTCCCAGCAGTAGAAGAGGGCAATTTCTGGTTTTCGAACTCAGAAGGGTCGACGGCGTAGAAAACCGGTATAACCCTCCGCCCGTGCAGCTTCATAAACTGGAGAATCTCCTCGAGCTCCTCCAAGCACCAGGGCGAATCAGTGTATTTGGGGTAGAGAACCACAATATAGACTTCGGATCTCTGGATTTTCAGAAAGAGCGACGACGATTATGGCCGGGGAGCGGCGGGAACGGCGGCAGCGGGCAGAGCGGGATGGGAATTGGTAGCTTGTTTGGTTGCGGGGAAGGGATTTAGTGGCGGAGGAAGCGTACCTTTAAAATTTGTAATTATAATATTTTTTATTTCATTTATTTTATTTTATTTTATTGTGTAAATGAGTTGGAAATGGTAGAAGAATAAATTTTATTTTATTTATTATTTTTTAATTGTCACGCATTGAGTTAACGGTCAACTTTGAGGGTTGACTGCCACATCAGAGAAATTTAACGGAGTTGGACGGAGAGTGGCCAAACTTGAACCATTTAACTAATTTGAGTGACCAAGGTTGAATTTAAATATTTTCAGTGACCAAACATGAATGTTTTTTGTATTTTTAATGACCAACTATGCAATTGATAGGGCAAAAGCGTATAGCTTCAATTCCTATCTTGTAGTAATCCGGAAAGTCCGGGTATCGTCTCTCAGGGACTGGTACAACCTTAAGATTTACCGATTTTTATTGAGCAAACTATATGTGAAAATGTTTAATGAGATGAAACTATGATCTAATAGCAAAGTAATTAAACAAAACAAGCAAATTAAAGTGTCGGGTTTAAATCTATGGGAGAAAGCTCTGGGAGAAACACCGGGATTCACTACCTATCCTATCCTGATTAATTCATACATTCCAATCAATTTAATCCATATCTCTACAGCCAGGATATCACTACTGTGCTAGCTATCCCTGTCGGGCATTACTACGTACTAAATAATCAATTCAAATCCTACTGTCGTAGCTCAATGAATTAACTATTTAGCCTGAAGACCGATATCCCAATTAAGACCGCATAGTACCTTATTTAATCCACTGTCGCTTCGATAAGTTACTATGTCACATGAAATAGGTTCAGTTATTAGGGTTTCACTGTCACTAATAACCTAATTAACTACGATTCATTGTATTGGTGGCCAGTCAACACAAAGCATTAAGCAATTTCATGCAATAGAGATTGGAAGAAAAGAATCATGAATCAATCCATCAAATCAAGAACTAGCTACATCCTATGGTGTTTCCCCCAGAAATTGGGGTTTAGTTCATGACGAAATTAAGATAAAACATTAGAGTTTTGATCATCATGTTCTAAATCAACAATAAACAACTAGTTCGGTTCAGAAAATCCAACCAACTAATCGCTCTCGTTGAACTCAGCTCAAACAGCCTGGAAAACTCGATCTTCGATTGCCAATCGCCGCTCGATGCTCGCGTGTCCAAGCTTGCTGCGCTGCGCTCTGCTCCCAAGAATAATTCGCCCGAGACCTCTCTCTTCAGCTAATTACCTCCCGCTGCGCGCTCCCTTTCTCCCCAGAAGTCCGCCTCCCAAAAGAGATTTTTGTTCTTTTCTTTGGGCCAATTAATTCCCATGGCCCCAAAAGAATTCGTTCCCAGAGACAATTCCTCACAATGGCCCGTCCAGAATTGCTTGTCTTGGCCCAAAAATTGCTTTCGTCCGCCCAGGTCCAAAGAGGAAAGTAGAACGGGCTTTGGCCCATTTCTTGTCCCAAGAGTTCCGTCCCCAGCAGTTCGAGCCCGATTTATTGCTAATGCACTCGCTCCTTTTTCGTGCTTTCTCCACCTGTAACATATCAAACTCATGGCACTAGGTAGTAATGGTTTTTCAACCATTCTCGGGTTAGGGAGCCCTAAAATCGCACCAATTGGCTTAAACATACCATAGGATAATCACATAAAGTCCAAGAATCCGATATATTAAAGCCGAATATCAGCAATTAACCCGTTGGGTGGAGAATAAGTTCCAAAATCTATGGGTGTTTTGGATGATTTAGAGCTACTTTTGGTGGAGTATAAAACTCAACCGACTACTTCAGCTAGTCAAAGCGGTGTCTATGGCTTCTTCAAGCATTCTCTTGGACAATTACATGGTTGTAAGTATTTGTTTGTAACTACATTTATCACTTCTTTTATTGTGTTTTGGTCTTTTGGTTTATTATTCGTTTTGCTTGATGTACATTCTCACTGTAAAAACTTATGAACATGCTAACGGAGACACTATGTTGCTTACTTTTGATGTCTTGCAATATTGGAAGGACCATCAATTTCGATTCACTCACCTCTCTAGAATGGTAAAGGATGTACGTACTTTACATTCTAATTTTATCAGTGGCATCAGAGTCCCCTTCTAGTTTGGGAGGTAGACTATTAACAAAGTGGAGGAGTTAGATTTTGTCAGATACTCCTGAAGCAGTTGTGACAACTCGTAATTGGATATGAAGGATACCAAATGGGTAAGCAAAACAAACTTTTATATTTGTTCTACATAAAGCTACTCTCTTTTTCTTATCATTTTCTTTTATTCACTTATTAATTGTATAAATGAGGATGATCAAGAAGCAAAGAATGATGGAGAAGAAGTAAAGCTTCTCGAGTGATCACCGTGTTGTCAACCGCAATGATATCAAAACATATGTAGATTGTGAATTTTTTCTAAAACGTGTGTACTTTGAAAAATATTTTTTAGAAAAATGTATGTTCTGGAAAAAATCCTCTGTTGTACCCGGGCTTGTAAAAGCCCAAGCCTGTGACGAGCCTTGCAATCCTTTTTTGTTTTTGTTTTTTTCTACATATTATTCTCATAAATAAAATATGTAATTCTTCCATTCACGTGCACACAGAATTGGTCCCGCACTCCTCCAGGAAAAAGATACGGGCGCCATTGTTTCGCTTTTGGCAGTGCTGGGGTCTCTCTCTCTCTGGTCTGGTGGCTCATGGGGTCATGATTAGAGGAATAAAGCAAGTCCTATACATACTTCCAAAACTGGTCACAATCGAATTGTTATACCCAAAAAGGGAAGGGCGCTCACAACATGACAAACGCTTTACTGAATCAAGTTTACGATGAAGCAAGAAACGACGAGACAAATGATTCAGAAGGGTTTTCCCAGCCAGCCTTGAATCCGTTTGATTATAGATCGTCCAATTTAGCGCTGTTAGCTTCTACCTATCAGCATAGCCAGCTTTGGCAAAATGATTCATACAAACTTTCATGATACTGCATCATGATTCATACTCACAGTCAGGCATATTTTGATTCTAAAACACATGTAGTTTAACAGTAGCCATAACCACCAATCAGTCACCAAAGGTTGGCCAGCTATGATGTTCTATGTAACTACGTTGCTCCCTTACGTTTTGACATGACTTCTGTACTTATTAACTTGTGACTAAAAATTCAAATCTACAACGCAACTCATGGAAGTCAAGTGAAACAATCTCCGCGCGAACAAAACCTTCGAGATCGCAAGACCAACAATTTCAAGACGCATACCAACAATCATCCCTAGTATATATTATTACTACTTTCCACCCTACCCACAACCAAATGGGTACCTAACATGGCAGGCTCTCCTTCATTACTTATTCTTCTTCTTCCACTCCCGTTTCCTGGACTTCTATTCTGGCACCAAAAAACAAATTGTTCTTACATCTTGGGAGCTGATGAGCTGCTGGTTGAGTCACCTGCTGTAGGGTTCAATGGGGAGCCAGTGCTGCTGCGAAGAGATCCATTCCCACTTTCGTTATCAGATACAACTGGAATTTTCACGGCAGCCATTTCCATCTCCTTCTCGAGCTCGTCCTCCCGTCTCAAAGCAGTGAACTGCCCATCCAACGACCTGGCTGCGGCTAACCACGCAAGTACGATACCCAGAAGGGTCACTCCAAGGTAAGGAGTTGAATTAGCGAGTGAACCGAAGGTCAAAATCATGAACTGTTGAATCAGAGCTCCCCCTGATTTCCCAAGTGGGTTGCAGACCACATCAATGGCTGCCTTTCCTTTGACCTGTGCGCACAATAATCAAACACAGACAGTTAAAATAAACCGATTATTAACTAGGATGGCTCCAGCGACTATCAATCAAGTTATAGAAAGCTAATGGGGAGAGGGGAACCATGCGTACCTTGGTTTCCTCATCCAGAGGGATGTAAGCCATTTCTTTGCAGGGATCAAACAAGCTGTACTTGGCACTCTTGCTGAAAATATTTTGCAAGGCGCCAACATAGACAGCCGCAAGCAGAGGAGTCATCCCAAATTTGGCGAGGGTGGGGACAAGAGGACCACCAAACAAGATCAGAGAGAAAAATCCGACTCCAGTGAGAAGTAGCACTGTGGGTGTGATTTTGGCTGCAGCTCCCCATCCATATTTGTCAAAGATGTATTGGCTGATGAGCATCATCGTGAATGTTGCTATTCCAGTAGCCGTGGAGAAGTCACCCATGAATGCAGAATACTCATTCGGACTAGGGAACTGACAAATTTAGACAGCAAGTAAGCGACTATTTATCATATAAGAATGAAGAGATATTGGAAGGCAAGTAAGTGACTTCTTACCTGCGCCTTGAGCTTAGATTTCCACGTAACTTCAACAAGGTTGATGCTAATGCCATATGCCACAACTAAAGTTGCAAGGTCTCTGATGTATCTTGAAGAGACAAGGAATTTCAAGCTCTCCATTGTACCCATCTTTGGCTTTGCCTGAAAGAAAGAAAGGAGGATCTCAATTAATGACCCTGAGCATGCAGAATGTTGCTCACTCTCTTAACCTCATGAGTCTAACAATTAAGAACTCAATGAATATAGATAGCAACATCCATTAGTACAGCATTAAAACAGAACAGAAATAAAACATGACTCAATAAGTTTTACCTTCTTCTTCTTGCTGACGGTTGGAAGAGTGGCAGTTCTATTTACCCACCAGTAAAGGAAGCAGATAGCACCACCCATCAGTACAACAATGCTCATCATTCCTTTGAGGGAGACAGCCCAACCATCAACTCCAGGACCCAAATTCTTGCGGAGATTAGAGAAATACTTAACTGTCCGTCCTGAGAAAATTAAGGCTATATTTGCACCAAGCCCAAACAGTGGGTAAAATTTCTTCGCTTCATCAACGGTAGTGATCTGACATGAATGAACAAACACATAGTTAGTTCAAACTTCCATAACCAAGCTGTCAATAAGATTCGATATTAGCCAGGAGCAGCATATGCACAATATTATACTATGTCAAGTTCATGCCCCTCCTTGCTCTAGTAAGAATATTCAACTAGAAACACGTTAAATGTACCTAAATGGACCGATTCAGAGTCATTTATTTAAATAAAAGAGCCAGAGACTTATAACTCAATCGACAACGAACATTACTCCACGAGATACATTCCTCAAGACGAATTCCACAAAAGGAATCAGTTAAATCTGTTGTTGAGCCCAGCGAGTGACAACAGATTCAGGATAAGAATGAACTAAACATTGAAGCCTAGAACACTAGGATGGTACAAGGTCCACATACGTTGAGCAAAGCTTCCACATAAGTTACACAGGGATCATGAGGAACACAACACAGAAAGAATTGACTCACCACATTTTTCAGGCAATCATCCAATTAACTGAATGAAGAATTGCAAAAAACAAGTAACACTCACAAAGAACAGACGAAGGGAATCATAAAACAAAATATCAGCAGGCAAATCATCAATAGAAAGTTAACCTGATATTCATAAAAAAAAAAGTTTACCTGATTAGCAAATCCCCAGAAGAGCACGGAAACCACCACGCTCCCCCACAATTCAGCCATGACATAGAACAAACAAAAGCTCCAAATCCTCATTATAGCAAGTGGACCAAGAAACCTCGGGCCAAGCACGTTGAGAAGCTTATCAGCAAATGCATGAGGGTGAATATAATGACTCAAGGGATACAAGAAGAACCCGAAAGCTCCAAAGAAGGCGATAAAGGGCATGATTACAGTGTAAAACAGAGCCTCCTTGGATAGCACATTAGCCAATTTGGTGTATAGAAGCATAAACCCAATCGCCATAGGCAAATTCACCCAAGTTTTCAGAAAGGGGATAATCTCTGCACTGCTCCCTTCGGCAGTCACCACCAACACATCCTTCGTATCCCTCAGAATTGTATAATTGAATAAGATACAAAAGAACATCAAACCTAGTGGAACAATCTTCTTGAGAGTCTCAACCTCGATACCTAGAACCTTCTTGCTCTCACTTTCCTTGCGAAACAGCGGCTGTCCCTCCGAGGCAGCGGCGGCTTCCGCTTTGCAGATATGCAAAGTTCTGTTACTTGGGAACAGACCATTGGGGGCTGACACAAAGGTCGGAAATTTTTTGAACCCATTTGAAGATAAGGAAAACCCAGGTGAGGTTTTGGGTTTTGAAGCCGAAATCCTCTGCCTTAAACCCTGGGATGCATATAAAGCTCTGGTTTTTGGATTAGGCGGTAGTGAGAAAAGCCCTCTGGTTTGTAGCACGGCTTCCATACCTCTCTTCTTTCTCTCCTACCTATCCCCAACAGAAACTCTTATCAAAGAGAGGAAGATGGGTATTTTCAGAGAAGAGAGAGGGGCAGCTGAGGTAGATACTAGATAGAGAGATAAGGTGGCGCTAAGAGAAAATTTCTTTCTTGAGAGAAAGAGAAAAAGGGAAGGGATGGTGGTGGATACAAATAAATATCTCCTCCACGGCCTTTTTTGCTATCGGAAACCATCAAAACCCTCGAACGTCTAAATGCAAACGAACCCAGTTGGAGACAAAAGATAATATTGGAAAAGAACCCATCTCCTCTCCTCTCCTCTCCTCTCCTCTTCTAAGTTACAACGAGGCGAGCTACAATCTCTCCCTTTCCTGCAGCGGCATATTTCCTTTCCTTATTCTCCTCTGCTTTGCTATTTGTTAGACTTGGACGCTACTGAGAGCAGAAAAGGAATGGCCGACGGAGATACTCTTAGGAATGGCCGACGGAGATGCTTTGCTGCTCTAATTCAAAAACGGGTTGGTGGAGTTCGCAATCAGTTGGGAAAGCAGACAAATGATCAGCTGAGAAAAATAGGGAAAGAAAGTGGCAAAAGTGAAGGCAGAATGAGTAGGAAGTGGAGTAAATGTAGGTGGGTGAGTAGTAGTAGATATGGTCAAGGTAGCAAATAGCAAATGAAGGTATCTCTCCAATTTATACCAGCGGACAGTGGCGGAGCCAGCATTTCAAACCACCCCTGTCCTTTTTGCATAACTTAAATATATAAATATCTAATAAAAGAATTATTTAATAAAAAAGAATTATATCCAAATAATTCATTCATAAATTAAAAATAACCAATTATACTATCATACTTTTCAGAAACAACTACGAAGGAATTTCATATAGTGAAAGAAGCGCAAAAACATTCGTTGTCTACACTATTATATAAGTCTCTTTCAATGTATCTTACTAAACAAGTATTAGCAAACTGGTCGCCAAATCGACTTGGAAACTTGTTCTTAATATAACTCAAACCTGAAAATGCTCTTTTTACACTTGCATTTGTAATTGGTAAATCAAAACTAGTGGGATTGCCGTTGTCGCTAGACAATTTCAGGGTTGTTGGGGACAGATCGAATAGGCATAAGGAGAAAAGAGACCCGATTAGTTCTTTATTGCAATTGGAATTTCGTTTATTGTATAATAAATTAATTTTATGTCAATTTCGGACAAATAATGAATTGTGTTGTAGTGACAAAGTACTCTAATACTACCTATACGTGTTATGTTCCATCACTAATATAAATATATATGGCATATTTTTGTTCCACCAAAATTTACCCCTGTCCCGGGACAAGGCCAAAAGGCCCTGCCTCCGCCACTGCCAGCGGAAGTGAGGGACTAATTGGTTAATCATTTCTATATGTGACAAAAATTGACGGTGATTAATGGATTCATGTGACCGGAATTAGTATTTCTAACTTTTCAATAAAAACGCAAATGAGACTTCGGTTGAGATATTATATAACTACCCTCCTGTAGATATTTATCATCTGCGCTAAAGTGGATAAGTCCGAAACCTATTCATTTTGTACAAAATGGTCACAAATCTTTTATTTTGCACCTTTTAGTAATATACGCGGGAGAGAGTCATTCTGTTCATCTCCATCCAAAAAATCGTTTGTTTAATCCTGATCATTTCGTTTTCTTTTCTTTGTTGTGACTGTCGCGGCAACTCGATACTGGTCATCCGGTATACTTCGTCGAAAGAAACTACACTCGCTGGCGAGACTATCTTGGAGATGTTGGATTTTTGTTTTTGTTTTGTCCCGTCAGTGTCGTGTCTTTGCTCCTCGGAGCTTCTTCAGAGCTGCCCAAGTAGTGGCTTTACATGCTCTTTCATCGTAATCTGGTTGCATACGGACTAATGCACAATGTTAGAGTTAGTCTTGTAAGTGTGTCGAGTCTTTGTCTCATGCCCTCTGAGCTTTCCTTGAGAAAAAAAATTGTTTGTTTCGGATCATCCCAATTGAACCGCACAATCCTAATTCTATACCCACCCACCCAAAAACTCTAATTCAATCAATAAGAGAGATCCATGGATACCTAATAAGAGATCCATCAGAGGAGCCAGATATCATTTGGTAAAGAATGACTCCTGACCACTCAATACAGTAGTGTTGGGGGTACTACCCAAAGGTTAATGGTGAGATTTTTCCAATAATAGCACCCTTAAAAAAAAATTACAAAACTAGCACCCTTCCAAAAATAATTACAAAACTAGCACCTATTTTAATGGAACGCACCTTAGAGGTGCGTTTTCAGTATAAATCGCACCCCTAAGATGCGATTTCTAATGTAAAACGCATCCCCAAGATGCGTTCCATATTTGGTCGCCAGCGACCTTCCGGATCGCACGATTGAGATGCGATCCAACGGGCTGGAGCATAGCCACGTCAGCAATCCGCGCGGATTATTGTGGATCGCACTGGCGAGGTGCGATTTCTCGCCTGGAAAAGTGGAGCGTCCGTTTACCGAGCGTTCAACGCCTCGGGACTCGGAGATCGCATCAGGGCAATGCGATTTGGCGCTGAGATCGCACTGGGGAGATGCGATTTACACGGGGTAAAATTACCCTACCGCCCCTGAGGGGTGCGATCTGTTGGGTATAAATACCCCCCTTCCCCCTCGAGTTTCTTCACTCCACACAACCTCAGAGGGGAGAACACAGTCTCAGGGTTAGACGCCTCCAATGCCAGTATTAGTCTGGGAAGGAATGCATATGATTCTTCCCAATCACCATAGACGGCGGCCATAGCTTTCTGCTTTCCATGCCACGCCTTCTTATAGTTAATCATATAACCAAAACGACTTGCAATGTCAGCGATTATGACTTTCACCTTCAGATCCGGTTCAGCCTCAATCAGATGCTTGATAGCCGCAGCAACCACCCTGGATTTCAACTGTCGATGGCCTTGGGAAGTGATGGATGACACACATGTGTGTGTGTTGACCGCACGGGATATGACCCAGTGGCCGTGTCTCTTGCTGTTGATGGCCCGAATCCTAACATTGCACCCCTCGTGATGATTACGGCATCTGACTATGAGCCTTTTGGTGTTGGAATGAGTTGTGTCCCATTCAAAATGCCGAGTCATTGCTTCAGTCTCAAGGGCGTGTCGCACATCCTTCTTCGAGCCAAATTGTTGGCCCTTCGTAAACCCAGTGAGTGGGCCCCATATTGGGACCTCTGGCGGCTCCATGTCGCTGTCGACCATCCAATTGTCGTCTGGAATGTGATTGTAGTAGGGGACTGGTACACGGTCAGGAGCCACATCATGATCATTATCTGAATCTGAATCTGGTGCTGAATCATCAGCACCTTCAAGAGGGTCTGAGCTATCTGCACTGACGTTGTTCTCTTCTTCTTCATCAGAGGGGTCGCTGACTGGTGCTGGTGTGGCAGCCTCCATCTGATCTTGCTCATGAAAGGCACCTTCATCAGCTCCATAATGGTAGTTGTGAAAACTACCGCTGCCTGTCAGGAAGTTGTACTGGGCTTGGTTGGGGATGTCCGGTTGAACTTCTTCTTCATATGACGAGAAAGATTGATGATGGCCAGCACCTTGCCCTCCATCTTGGTACTGAAAATAGGATTGAGGATCCTGGTAACTTTGGTAGGGATGATCGTCATATAATTCACCTCCACCATGGATACCAGATGTTTGACCGTGTCCAGAATGACGTCCAACACCAACGGCTGGCTCGGTGTAAACGAACATCTCAGCTTTGGCCAATTTGTTGGACCTCAAGAATTCGAGCATGGAATCTAGGTCATCTTGAGTGGTTATGGTATATTCCTCATGCCACAATGACCCAGTTGCTCTGTTTGGGTATCGGTACACCATACGATCTACCCTCCTCGTGCCATCCATGCAAGTAACGTCAGTGCATATTTGATGGAGGTCTTCAAGCTTCGGTCTGGTACCGACCGTTATTTTCTGAAAATTGCCACCGACGTAGGTGGCCCCCTTTCCGGTCTCTTCCGTGTAACCATTCCACCGTAAGCCAAGCGTTAACTGACGGAATGCCATCTGCACACAAACAAACCGTAGTTTAGTTAATATCATAAAAATCACAAATCACAATAAAAAGTAACACAAAATAAACTTACGAGTTAATTTTAATGGCATAAAAAGTAACCCAAAATAAACTTACGAGTTAATGTTAATGGCATAAAAAGTAACACAAAATAAAGTTACGAGTTAATGTTAATGGCATAAAAAGTAACAAAAAAAAACTTACGAGTTAATCTTAATGGCAAACACACTAAATAAATATAGTTATACAACAGAAAAATGAAAGAGAGAATGAGAGGTGTGAAGAGTAGAGGTTTTCCGGCAAGTCTTATATAGGGGAAAAAATTGTGAAAACCGCACCTCTAGGGTGCGGTTTTAGTCTGCCATGCAGCCCTACGTGCATAATTCTCTGCATGGCTGTGTCGGAAAATAATTGACACGTAAACCGCACTTGGGGGGTGCGATCTACATGGCTAAACCGCACTTGGGGGGTGCGATCTAAATGGCTAAACCGCACCTTACAGATGCGGTTCGTTCTTGGAGGAATAAATCACATCTCTAAGGTGCGGTTTAGGTAGGTCAGGCCTAAACCGCACCTCGGGCATGCGTTTCATGTAGGCCAGACATGAAAACGCATTGCCAAAGTGCGATTTAGGCCCACCAGATTAGACCGCATCCTCCAGGTGCGGTTTACATATAAAACGCACCTGGGGGATGCGGTTTATATGTAAAACGCATCACGAGGGTGCGTTCAATAAAAAAGGGTGCTAGTTTTGTAAATATTTTTGAGAGGGTGCTAGTTTTGTAATTTTTTTTTTAAAGGTGCTATTTCTGGAAAAATCTCGTTAATGGTCTGGGCCCCCAAAAAGTAGGATTGGGGGGCAGGGCCCAAAAAATGGTTCCAATAAAGGCCACTAGGCCCAAGCAAGAGGAAAGGCCCAAAAGGACAAAACACTAAAAGCCAAGAGAAGACCAGCTGTCAGGTGGCCCACTGCCTGCGGGCGCCTGTCGCGTGTCAGAAGCCTGACAAGGCAGTTGGATGTCTCACAAGGAGGACACAGAGCATTAAATTGGGGCAGTGACGTGGAGGAGATCAACCTCGAGTTCGGTGAGTATAAATAGGGGCAGTTGGTAGCATTTACACAGGTTGGATTCTCTCACCAAAGTTACTACTTGGGAACACTTCTCTCTCTAAGAAACTAACTTGAGCGTCGGAGGATTAACGGGCCAAGGCGCCCTCCTCTTTGTGTGTGTAGGCAGGCGCTGGGCGAAGGGAGGCTCCTGCTATACCGGCGGGTACTGTGGCTCAAACAAGTAGATTAACAACACAAGTGAAGCGGGGCTTTAGTTTACGCCGACAACGCGAGTAGAGGAGGGATCGATGGTGGGGGCTTCGGTTCACGCCGACGACGCGAGCAAGTGAGGGATCGACAGTGGGGGTGTTTGGTTTAGGGTCCCGTCGCGACC